AAAAAAAAAAAAGGGGGGGGGGGAAGTAAACACAGAAAGCTTTGAGAAGTTAGTAATTTTAAAGCAGTAGCATGCATGTTTACAACCACCAGTCAAATTTAATAAAAGCTACTGAAAGCTTTGCCTCAAATAAAAAGTTTTGCTGTTCTTCCAGATCTGACCTTTCTTTGAGTACCGTCTCATTCTCTGGCTAACTGGTGAAAATGGATCATAATGGATCACAGGACTGTAAGAAGGACAAAGCAGATTTTACTCCACTGCTAATGCAGAAAAAGATTTCATCCAAGTCGTGATCTGATGAATTTGTTCACAAACCTCAGTTTCACTAGTAATACTTTGTGGCCCTCATCAGAGGATGAGTCCTCAGCACTGTAGTTACATGATGGCCGAGCTCTAACACCAGTCTATGGCAGCTTGCTTCCGCCACTGATTTTTATTTTTTGCCATCTATAACTTAAAATTTCGAGTTAATTTCTCAAAATGTTGACTGACCCCCCCCCAACTTTCTCATGTTTCTGAGGTGCTAAAAAGCAAACAGAAGCAACTGCTCTTAAACATCATTTGGTAATAAAAATACTGATATTCATATTCTTACTTGAACTCATTGTTTCATTTGTAAATCAGAGAGGAACAGAGGTCAGAGAGAAAGCTGCATTAGTTAATCACACTAATATAGTGTTGGCTTTTTGTTGGTTTAACTTTGTGTTTGTGTGACAAGGTTAACTGTTGTTTCTCTTTTCTGAACTGATGCTTCCTGTCATATTTCAGTCCAGAACAAAAGGACCGGGTTTGTGTCAGAAGTTAGTGAGGGTGACCTCTACCTACACGACTTAATACAGCTACAATTGGAAAAACCCAGAACTTCATCAAACCCCGTCTTTGTTGATATACAAGTCATGTGTCAAAACTGTAGGCAACGTCATCAAGTGTCTTCTTTACAGGGTAAAGAGTAAATTTAGGTCCATCGCAGAATCATTAAACCACAACTTCTCATCTGGATTCAAACTTGTGATATCTTTCCACTCTTTCGGTATATTACCCTGTCTCTCGTTCTGGTGTTTTTATACGTATAATAGAATGACCTCCATCACTTTGGCTACGTTCACTCTGCAGGTCTTCGTGCTCAATTCTGATTTTTTGATCAAAACTGATTTTTTGTCTGCTTCTTCACACTACAAATAAAATGTGACAGCAAACGCGCTCTAGTGTGAACCCTCAAACCGGCCCGCATGCGCAAA